AGGCAGCCGGTGGCTGCCCAAGCAGCGCTCCACGGTTTGTGTTCCTTGGAGAAAGATCCCGGTGCTCTGAAAAGTAACTCGCTTTATGCAGCGGGCTCAGACTGTCCTCGGAAGGGTCATACGAGAGCGATGGGGCTGCTTGATTGGAAAATTAATCCCTCTTTTTGTGCTCCTCGTGTTTAAACCTGTATTTGCTTCCCGGGCAAGGTCACTGCTCAGCTGGCCAACTTTTTAACAACTGGAAGAGGCATGTTTGCTGCTCCGAGCCCTTCACTGCTGCCTCTTGGCATGGGAAAAGATGCTTTTGAGGGAGGCAAGTGCTTCTGCTCCCCGATGGGCTTGTCGATGGGAGCACGGGAAGGTAACAGGACAAGATGCTTTCTAACGATAGTTTCTCCTTTCACCAAGTGCTAAAGCCGTTGCTGCAGTGCAGGAGAACATGATAGGCAGAGCTCAGAAAAATGTGTGTTATAGCTAATGAGACTGTGCTAATGTGCTGCTCAGCAGGGATGAATTATCTTCTTATTTATAGCCACAGGGTTAACTGTTTCCTATTGAAAATTACCAGCAAGATGCTCTGGGAGAATGAAAATCGTATATATTTGTCTTTGTGGTTGAGTTAATTTGTTCTTTATATCTTCTGGGGTGTAATGGTTTGTTCTTTATTTCTTCTGGGGTGTGCTATTTGTTCTTTATACCTTCTGGCGTGCAATGGTACTCTCCATTCTGCTGGCTGGGGTACATGGGGAGCAGGCAGACACTTTACATTGCCTGGCAAGTTGGACAGAGAGAAATAGGGGTTAAATGTGCCTGTAAAGATCCAGTGTTTGAGACAAGGCTGGTTAAAAAGACAGTACATTGTCCCTGCAAATGGGCTGCCCCAGGGAATAAACCCACTTCACTCTGTGCTGTCGCCTTCTCATATTTGGCTTCTTGATTTCCAGTTCTGTGTTTACTTACTCCTGCCTTGAGAAAAGCAACAGAATTCAACTCTGGATTAATCTTGCCCACAGCCTTTCTGTGTAGTAAAGGTAGACATCAGGATGCTGTGCACGTGGGGATGTCGCCTGCCTGGGGAGGAAAACCCATGTTCTTCGGTTTGATTTAACAGAGGAAAACTCAGCAAATACAGAACCTGACAGAGGGTCAGCATAGTAGGTATTAGGATTAAAAGCACTGCCCTGCCCTGAGCTGTGGGCTGGACATTGGGTGCACGGGAATGCTTCTTCTAGCCGATTACTTCATATTTGTATATCATTTTTATTAGGGACAGGCACTGGAGAGCAGCCATGGGGTCCAAGGAGCATGTTTTTTGGCTCTAACTCATCCACCCTGCGCCTAGAGCTGCCTCAGGGGGGCCGGGAGAACATCAGCAATCTGGTAGGCTACATCCAGCGTCCTTTTACGAGGTGATTTTGAAGTAGATTGGTCAAAAGAGGAAAGTCAGAGTATCAATTTCAGCTGCAGAGTTGGGACCCAGCCAGCTCATAAATGAACCAAATAGATGTAGTTATCTAGGTATTAAAAAGCATCCTATTAACAGGCTTTCCCAACCCCCCTTCTAAATAAATGACCTAGAAGAGTGAGGTGGAGCTGGTCAGACTGTAGCTGGGATCTGTAATCGACTGTAATCAGGAAGGTAAGAAAAAGAAACAGTTGAGCAAGAGGTTAGTCTTTGTTTTAGCGTGTGCTGCTTATTGGCAGGAGGAGACAGAAGAAATTGCTCTTTATAGACGTGCAGTTAATTGGAGAGCACCAGGGGGCTGCTGGTCAAGGTGTTTCAGAAGCTCACATGGCGTTGGATGGGCATCAGCGTTGCCATCTGGCTGTAGAGCATCAAGGAGGTACCAGCCCTGGAGGAGCTTTTGAGAGTTTGGATGCTCTCCTTGGGTTGGGATCTTCCCACCTTTCCCTCAGGACTATACACACAATAAACATATCTACCTGGTAGACAGAACTAACTGTTCCTTTACAAGGTTTTGATCTTTCAAAGTATCTGTCCTATGATAACAACACAGCAGGATTTGACTTCGTTCTGCTGCTGCTCTTCGTAGTTAAACCAAGAAAGTGCTTCCAGAAGAGAGTGACAGCAGCACTGCTGTACTCTATGTCTCAGCTGTACTTCATAATCCAGTTATCTTACCATTGCCACAGGAAGAAAGATGGGTTTCACAATGAAGAAATAATTATGTGGTAGAAGGAGAATTTAGAAGCCTCGGAATGGAGAAGACCATCAAGACAGAGCTGCTCCTGAGATAGTGAGTGAGCCAGAGCTCTTGAGGGATGGTTCTGCTGATGGATGCTGCACAAGAGAAAATGGAAAGCTGAACCAGAGTGGTGCTGGATAAATATGACGCCAGGGAAGCAAGGGGTAAAGGTTGGCTGAGCCCCTTCATAGGTCAACTGCTAAAGCCCTCAGGTGAAATCCTGCAGGCAGAAAATGAGTTCAGGCTCTGGTGATTTGATCAATGAGATGAGAGCCAGTGCTCGGCTCAGGCTTGGTGCTGCTTGTTCCTACTCCTGAGACTCTTGCATAGCTCAGGGATGCACTGGAGAAGGAGGGATGGACTTCCAAGCTGCTGTGGGACCATTTGTGGCCAGGAAACAAATTAGGTACTTGAAGGAAAATCCTAAAGAAGAAACCTACTTGTCAAGAAACCCCTTTTTCCTCCATAGCAGGAATTAAAATAGACCTTTTTCCTCTGAGCAATATTGTCCTTCACATGTAAGTCAGGAAGCCTCCTACAGCAATGTCTCTCTAACTGCCTTAACCTTCCTCGCCTTGGCCTCTTCCCTGTGTCTTTCTAAAGGGCATGGAGGAGCGAAGCCTCACCCAGGATCTTCCTTGGCTGTTCCCGGCCTTAATCTCCTCTTGTGCTCCAGGAGGGTCTTGCCTGTGTCCAGATGATGGGGAAGAGCTGGAGGGTGGTGCAGGCCAGGCAGGATGTGAAGTTCACAGTGTGGGCTGTGGTAGATTTCCACTTCCCTGATCTGGAAGCAATTTGGCTGTGGTTTAGTGCAATTTGGTGAAGGTTCTCTATAACAGGACTGATGTGCTCTGAAGTAATGGCTTTCATTGGAACAAGCTTCACCATAAATTTTGGATCGTTGGTTGTTATGGATTTAGAAAATAAAAAAGGTGTCAAATCAGTAATTTCTGTGTGTAACTTATATCCCTTGCTCTTTCCAGAGACACTGTGTTGGATGTATCCCGCTTACAGGAGTTAGTGAAGAGTCCCTGTGCCATCCATCTCGAGCTCCCAAATATCTTGTCTCTTCTTGTTTGCAGTCAAAACCATCTGTAACACAGGGGATGTTTTGTAAGAAGCCACTGCCTGGGAGGTGTCTGTGAAGCACAACTTGTTGCCCCCGGAAAAGGAGCTATTGATTTAAGCAGCTTGAAAGTGCTTAGCAGACAGTCAGGCCGCAGCATGTGGGAAACAAGAGGGGGGGTGGCCTGTGGAGAGGTGTGAGGCTTTAAGGGGAGATTAAGTTCGGATAATTGATCTTTGTTTTAAATTAAGAGTATCTGATTCATTTTCTCAAGGGTGAAGAGACTCATCTGCCTTAGCTTGTCAGAAGATGCTTAAGTGACAGCCCAAACAGACCACACCATGGAGAAGACCGATGGTATGGAAGCTACAGGATGTTTGTTTGCTCATTTGTTTCTTGAAAAGAAACCCAACCAAGGCCTGAAGTAATTTCCTTACCAGAAATACTGTAAATAACCTGTTTTCTATAGATAGGTGGTAGAGCCAGGAGATGAAAAATGCATCATTCATGTATTATGCAGACTTCCTAAACCACAGCAAAAACATGGCCACAGCTCTCAGCTCAGCATGTATTTGTCCTTCTGTCCTCCATGGTGTGTAGGACAGATCTCCTCTGCTCCCACCACAGAATCATAAAATGGTTTGGGTTGGAAAGGACCTTATGATCATCTAGTTCCAACCCCCCTGCCATAAGCAGGGGTGCCTCACACGAGACCATGTCACCCAAGGCTCTGTCCATCCGGGCTTTGCTCTTGTGCTCTATTTACCCTATGTGATGTTTTCCCTCTGTTGTTCCTCTGACTCTCACGTGCTGCTTCCCATCAGAAAGGCATCTACATCTCAGTGATGCTTTGATGAGCAGCACCAAAACCCTGCCAAATTCTCCCGGTCCCATGCAGCTGCTGCACCAGAAACCTGGATTCTGCTGGCTGAGCTGCTCCTCCTCATCCTCAAAGTACAGCTCCAGCCCAAACCACTGTGATTTGAGGGACTTGCCACGTAAAGAACAAGCAATAATACAGGGGTTTAACTATTTAAACCCTCCAATTTGGGGCCATGAATTTTTGCAGGCTGGCTCTGACAATGTGAAGTTGCATTAAGCCAGGAGCTGTGCTGCTGGAGCCGTGTGCTTGCCTGCAGTGGTTGCATGGGCAAACTGTCGCGCATTCCGTGGTGATTTTCCTCAACTGAAAGCTGTGCTGGGTGCTGCGCAGCCGGTCACCTTGGGAAGCACGTGTTTCGCATGGATGCAGCTCTGTAAAGCAGCCCTGGCTGGCGCTGTCTGGTCCAGCCTCTGCCCGGTGCCGTATCCATCATTCCCAAGGAATAATTTGTGACCTGGTGTTTGAGGACGAAACGATGCGATGATGTTCCCGCTTGCTGTGCACGGCACTACTTAGGAAAGTGAAACCCAAACCAAAAGCCTTAAAAAATGCAGTTGTCACAGCTTGTTTCCACCTTCTGTTTTTGAGCTGGGTTTATTATACATCAGGTAGCTTTTCATACTTACACAGACACGTAGCTCTGTCTGCAAATCCTGCTGTTTGCTTAATTGCCAATTACAGCCATGATTTCAGCAGCATTTCAGCTTCTTCAGTGCAACAATTACCTGATTCACCTCTAGAAAACCGGATCAGACCTTTGAGTGTGTTGTTTGAGCTTCAGCCCAAGCCTCCACCTGCCTGAAACGGAGATAAAAACAGCAATAACATTTTCTCCCTGTTCTAAACATAGATATTTTCTTCTTGGTTTTTTTTTTCCTGTCACTGAAATTCACCATCTCTCTGTTTTTGGGCTGTTTCAGCAGCCAGCCAGCCACCCAAACCCGATGGGGAGAAGGAGCAGCCCCGCAGCCTCCCTTACTCCGTGGAGACGCCGTACGGCTTTCACTTAGACCTGGACTTCCTGAAGTACGTGGAGGACATCGAGAAAGGGAACACCATCAGAAGGGTTCACATCCACCGCAAAGCCAAGCAGCCAAAATTCAGCACCCTGCCCCGGAACTTCAGCCTGCCCGAGAACGGCTCCCGGGGGTGCACGTCCGCTCC